TTCTGCCTGCCTTTCAAGATGAAAGCTACTGATATTCAGGCTTCGGCCTGATCGCCTAAAAGGTAGATTTCACTACAAGGGGCAATGAAGATAGAATGGGGACCAACCTGGGCTATAAGAAAACATGAACAGAATACGACATATTTTGTTGCATGGCCAACATAGCTGCCCTGAATATGCTTCCTGGAAGCTCTTTCCAGATGTAACAGTAGAGACACATCTTGAGATATTAAATGTTTTCTACCTAAGAAAGGAACAACTTCACATAGAACAAGGTTATCTGAATCTCAAGGAAATTGCTTTTCTACTGCTAGTCTCAGACCCTTTATATTGCCTTATAAAATCCAGATTATCTGCTTTGAAGTGGATTATATGGCATCTTATATCATCCGGTTCAAAGCAGATAATGTAGATTATCTGATTTAATAATCTGGATTAAATGGCAGTGTAGAAGGGGCCTCAGACAGAATGTGAACCTATGATTCTAACATTGTGGCTGTTTCTCTTAACTGATTTCTAACTTTTTTTTCTAATGAAAACAACTGTGAAAGCCTGCAGCATGTATTTTGAAGTTTTTCCAATAAAAATATCATTATTTGTGCATTTTGGTTTGTGATACATTTTGTTGACTGGTCAATATCCCTGAATATATTTTCTATGTTGTATATTACTGATGCTTGCTTCAGTATGATCTCTGCCCTCCCTATTCTGCTGGCAGTACAGGGAATGTTCATTTAGTTGATAAGATTACGAAGGATCAACATCTTAGCCATACAATGCAAACACATTTTCTAGGAACAGCAGCCAATTTCTTCCCACTACCACCCCAAACATCACTGTAGCTGCTGCAATAACAGTAGTCATGTTGGTGGGATGATAAAGGTATTTGAAGAATGCAAGAGTCTGCAGTATGAGAACAGGAGTAGGAAGGTTTTAATTTAACACGTCTCCTTTACTATTCCTGTCACCTTTGGACTATAAAACATGGTGAGACTCAGGTTATTCATTTCTAAGATAATGTGCTGCAAACCTGGATTCTCCCATTGAGTGTGGCAAAGCAAATGCCAATGAAAGGTAGCTTCTTTCTCACCACTACAGCTCTTTCTTTTTATGTTGACCCAGATGTAGACCCACTGGGACGCCTTGTCAAGTCACACACTCTCAGCCCCCCAAACCCTGTTATAGGGTCACCATGAGTGGGAAACTATTTGAACAGACAACAAACAAAGCTTTTGAGATCTGCAGATTGATATACCATCGTTCCACCCATGACCTTATCACACAGGCCAGGTGAAGTGTCCAATTTTGCCTGGCTTCGTGGAGGAAAGAGAGTACAGGATGTATTCCCATGTGAACAGAATTGTGAATATAGGGTACTTTCTTATTTTTTCTAATACAGTGTTTCTCAATCTTCCTAATGCTGTGACCTCTTAATACAGTTCTTCATATTGTGGTGACCCCCAACCATAAGATTATTTTCATTGCTACTTCATAACTGTAATTTTGCTACTATTATGAATTGTAATGTAAATGTCTGATATGCAGGATGTATTTCCATTCACTGGACCAAATTTGGCACAAATACCAGATGCACCCAAATTTGAATATTGGGGTTGGGGGTGGTTGATTTTGTCATTTGGGAATTGTAGTTGCTGGGATTCATTCACCTACAAGCAAAGAGCATTCTGAACTCCACCAATGATGGAATTGAACCAAACTTGGCACACAGAAGTCCCATGAACAACAGAAAATACTGGAAGGGTTTGTTGGGCATTGACTTTGAGTTTTGGAGCTGAAGTTCACCTGCATCCAGAGAGCACTGTGAACTCAAACAATGATGGATCTGGACCAAACTTGGCACGAATACTCAATATGCCCAAATGTGAACACTGGTGGAAAATAGACCTGGCATTTGGAAGTTGTAGTTGCTGGAATTTATAGTTCACCCACAATCAAAGAGCATTCTGAACCCAGTCCACAATGGATCTGCACCAAACTTGGCACACTATCTACATGGCCAACATAATATGGGGATGATTGCCAGAAACTGAAACACTGCTAGCAGGAAGTGAGGATGCAACCTTTTTGTTGCTGTGAATGTACTTATGTATTTGTCTTGTGTACTTTTAAGTCATTTCCAATTTATGGCAACCCTATCATGGGATTTTCTTGGCAAGATTGTTCAGGAGGAAGTTTGCCTTTGCCTTCCTCTAAAGCTGGGGCCACTTCTACACTGCCATATAACATCGAGATTATCTGTTTTGAACTATAGACTCATATAATTCACTTCAAAGCAGATAATGTTGATCATCTGCGTTCATAATTTGGATCGCATGGCAGTGTAGAAGGGGCCTCATATAATCCAGTTCTAAGTAGATAATGTGGATTATCTGATTTGATAATCTGGATTATATGGTGGTGTAAAAGGGGCCCGAGAGAGTGTGACTTACCCAAAGTCACTCAATGGGTTTCCATGGCTGAGCAGAGCTTTGATCCCTGGTGTCCAGAGTCATAGTCCAACCCTTAAACCACTACATCTCACCGGCTCTCTTATGTATATTTGGGAGTCATTTCCCTTGAACATCATTGGACATTGCTGAGTAAACAATGCTGTCAATCTGCATTGTAAAATATAAAAAAAATCCAAAAACCCACAATTAAATATTTTTGACCATTTATTGCTCGCTAATAGAATGGGAAATCAGCACAGTTTAAATGATTGACAGTGCCCTGCTATAATGTGACAATACAGAGCTTTTGCTCCCTTGTGACAGTGAAAGGAGAGGTTATACAGTACAATTGGAGAGGGTGGCCAAGAGCTTTTTCCTAAGACAAAAGGCTCTAGTGCTATTCACATTTACTTTTGAGTAAGGCCCAGTAAATTCAGTGTGGCCTCCATTAAAATAAATATGTTTAAAACTGTGACATGCCTTCATTCCTCAGTCAGTTGTAGAATGAGAGGTGTTGAGTTCTATTTAACAACACAGAGATGAACTCTAACATGGAGGGGTATTTCACTTTTAAAAAGCAATCCTATGTGTTCATTTGGCATGTTCTTCTAAATCTAGTGGATGAAAATTGGGACACATGTAGCCAAGCAACATCAGAATGTGATCAAGATGGCAAATGCTAATAATGAAGAAGAATGCACAAGCAAGGGTGTCTTCAGCAGTTTGCTGTTGCCTGAGTTTACTGGGAAGGACTCTTCCTCTCTTAGTCTACAGCTAAGTTAACTGAATGCAAACTACCGTACATTTGCATTTTGAACTATTGCTAGTTTGAAGCAACTGAAGTAAGCTGATGACAAAGAGAAGACTAAGAGGAGAAAAAACTGGGGCATTTTAAAAGTAGCTGAAATGTGGGACAGTAGAGGATTTGCTGGGTCTGTCCCTGCTATATTGGGAAAGCTAGAAAGTGGACTGTGTTTGTGTGTTGTTGTTCAGGCATGGGAATAGAGTTAATATGTTTGCCTATTTCAAATTAGGGCAGGATCCATTCCCCATTTGGATTTGGCTTTGGGAATGCATTACACAGCCACCCCAGTAGGAAGGAACAATGTGAAATAAGAGACATAAGTAATATACCAAATGTTTTAAATAAATGAATGCATTGCTTTATACACCCTGTGCCTTTGTCTACAACAGAAGTTTGGGAAACTGCTGAGATTCAAGTATTACTGTGAATCTATAAAAAAGAAGAGACTTACACTGCCATGCTTTGGTCCAGTGGGCATAGTAAAGGTCATATATGCATATACCCAAGTCTGGAGAGAGAAAAAGAGATGGGAAACCACCTTGTCACATAGGCTTTATAGGTCAGGGGCATCACATGCCCTGAGGTTTCAGGGCCGATTAACTGAAACATAAGGAAATCCTAGGGGATATGCCTTGCTCATATCATGGAGCGTCAACCCAGAAGTCACTAAATCTAATAAGATTTTTTTTCCGGTTAGCCAGTTTGTGGTCCAAATTCTGCACTGAAAAGGGGGAAAACACAATCATGTCACACCTCTGTTGTTAGTACCATTGTTTTGTGTGCCTTCAATCCCTTTCCAATTTATGGTGACTCCCATGGAGAACTTATTACTGGATTTGCTTGGCAAGACTGGTTCAAAGGGAGGTTGCCTGTGTCTTCCTCTGAATGTGATTTGCTCAAGATCACCCAGTGGGTTTCCACAGCTGAATTGGGATTTGAACAAATGCTTATACCACTACTCCTCGCTAGCTTTAAAAAAAATGTTTAGGACCTGTACTCATACCAAAGAATTGTTCTAAGATCTGCTTTGAGCAGAACTCCCCTCCCCCCCAACTTGTTCAGCTCTCTTTAACAGATTTGCACCTCAGCAAGCGAGAATCCAAAAGTGGCAGGCTAAAAACCCGGAACCTCAATCAATGCAATGCAACCTGAACCTTGCCAAATGCACAATGGAGGACCTTCTCACAGAGACACCAGAGGCACTCCAGGTGGTCTTCCTTCTGGTCAAAAGACATTTAGCATGATGCCAAGTTTTAAAACTATGTGTTTTAAAATACATTTTAACTGTGCCCTCAATTTGCTTCTAACAAGATAAATAAATAAATAAATAAATAAATAAATAAAGAGATTTGCATACACTGCTTTTAACAACACATGGGAGTTGTACCGTGCTATGACTAGTTGGGCTACAACAAGATCACTATAACCAATCATGCTGGTTGGAGTTATGGGTGTTATAATCCAGGCCATCTAGAAGCCATGTAGGTGGGAATAATATATAAACAGCAATAAAGGAAACTGGGACTTTTCTATTGAAGGCAGAGATCTTTCCCCGTGACCACATGTAGCTGTGACATCTTCTGTGGCAGTTAAGCAATTCAAAGAAACTGCTAGTATGTTTAATGCACCCCCTTTTTGAGCTTATATGAAAAATGAAACAAGAGCAGTATTAATCTGTCAGGAAATATCAAATGCTGCCTTAGAAACTCTAGTTATCTGCAATGTCTTAAAAAATCCCCGTGATATTCAAATGTGGATCTATTTTACTATTCAGGAAATGGCATTGAACATACTATACAATACTTCTTTTCATTTTAGTTCTTTGGAAGGCAGATCATTGATGTATGGGAACAGCACGTAGAAAGATTTGCATTATGTCAAGGTACAGAAAAGAAATGAAAAAATTGAAAGACCAAAGCAGGGCATTTCAATGATTCCCTTCCACTCCAACTTACAGCCACACATTGTGTTACATATCACCCCATTCAGACAGTTAACTCTCAGTATAAAAACAGATGACAAAGAATCAAGGTTTTGTGCAAATAATCAGTCACATCCCATATAATTTACCCTTGCTTCTTCCTCGCTGGTTTGGACTTGGGTCAGAGCCATGAGTAATACCAGTTATTTTAGAAGAGAAATGGCTTTTTAAAGAAATTAGAACATACAGCTATTTTGGACTCATGTACAGATCTTGTGCTAGATTGGAGAGAACGGGGATCTGAATCAGTTTGTGTCCTATAAACAAAGGGTTGCTATTCTCTAGTGTCTAACCATAGCAGATATGGAGAAGGCTCTTCTCATCAGTACTCAAATGGTATGGGGCAGGGAGTCTGAACAAGAATAGGGATTACCTATGAGAAAAGCAGAAGTGGTGTTTTTGTGGTCAGAAGCATTTTTGTTGCTTAATTTCCAGCGCATTTATTTCATTCTTTTGGCCACTCTGAGTTGACCCTCAAAATTCTAGCTCTGTTGTTGTTGTTGTTGTTGTTGTTGTGTGCTTTCAAGTAGTTTCTGAGTTATGGCAACCCTAAGGGAACCCTATCATGGGATTTTCTTGGCAAATATTGCTTAGAAGGGCCTGACCTCCTCTGAGGTTGAGAGTGATTTGACAAAGGTCATGTTCAGTGGATTACCATGGCCCAGCTGGAAATGTGAATCCTGGTCTCCAGAACCATAATCCAATGCTCAAGCCACTACATCACCAGGCTTCTGGGTAGGAAGGGCTGAAAAGAATCTTACACTGTTTTGCAAGTTACAAAGTAAGATTGGGGAGGGGAAAGTGATGAAATGAATGAAATGAAACTTTATTTATAGTCCACCCTATCTTCCCGAAGAAACTCATGGCAGCTCACAATAAAATAAACAATGGCAAACATTAAGTGATGAGAGTAATATATAAACAAATCAATAAACAAATCAACAACTCAGTAAATTATAAATCAACATAAATGAACAAGACATAACGTAATCCACATAATTATGAACATATTAAATTCTTAAAATATCATTTAAAATATCTAAAATTAGGCTACAATTGTTGGGGGAATGCTAGCAGCTAAGTACGGTGCAAATAGATGTGCTTGTGTATTAAGGCAGAAGATTGTATTGGTCTCCTCTTTCGAATCATTTTGTTGTGCTTCTTTACTGGATAGTGTAACAGCTTTTGCCACTCCATAGCCTGAATATTTGCCAGCACATCAAGGCTGATAAAGGGTTTCTTGCCACACCAGGGTCATCCATTTTTACTTTTGGCAGAGGGCAATGGAGACAAAAGCAATGTGAAGGCACACCACAATTTGGGAGCTCAGAGAGACTCCCAAACTTTCTTGAGCACGTCTGGCTTGTGGTTTCTGAAAAGTTCTAGTCCAAAAAAGTACCTTTTCCAAGCTTTAGCTTGCATACCCTATTTCTTCCACATCAGGGACTTCCCTAAAGTCATTTAGTTGATCATTTTTCACTCACGCACATTCTCCCACTAGTACTGTTGGCTTTGCTGAGAAAGAGTAACCTCAGTCTGGTTGTTAGTCTTGTTGAGAATGTTAGATTTACCTACCTATTGACTCAGTCGAGGTAGATCTGATTTGGTAGGTCTACTCTAGTTGGAGCTAATTTAGATACCAACTAATGAACTCTGCCATGCACTTACCGAACAGGGCCTTGTTGGGAAGGGAGCTCTTCTGTGGAACTATGGTTTTCATTTATAGTCTAAGTGCCTTCAGGAGTCTAAGCATGACTTGCTATGGGAAATTCTTGCCTCATCCAGTAGCAACCCACCACTGGCTTGACAATCTCCATGGCACACTAGGCCTCTTCCAACTCAATGATTCTATGTGGAAGGATATGGAAGAAAGAGAGTGTAGAAGAATGAATCAATTCACACAATGCTCTGCAGTGATCAATAAAATAAAATTTTAAAAGTGATCAATTTTCTTTAAGGCAGAAATGAAGGTAACTTGTTATGAAGAAATTAAGGGCAATCATTTAAAAATAAATATGGGGATGTGTGGGGAGATTTTTTTTTATCATGGCATGTGCAGTGCAATGGATGTTGGGGGGTGGGGGCTGTATATACTAAAGGAGCACACGTTTTGATACTTTAAACTGAATATAATCCACTTGGCATTTATTTGCAGGAAGCAGAGGTAAAAAGCCAAAACAAAAACATGAAATAATTCACAAAAAAGTCTGTCTAGGTTGCATTATATAGACAGATGAATCACTGGATGCCATCCAGGAAGATTTAAAAATGCTTCAGACCTGCTGAAACCCACATTAACTCTGTAACTCACTATGTTGTCGTTGTGTGATTGTATGAGTTATCTGAGACAGAGAGAGAGTGTGATTTGCCCAAGGTCACCCAGTGGGGGTTTCATGGTTGAGCAGGGATTTGAACCCTGATCTCCAGTGTCATAATCCAATGCTCAAATCACTATGCCATGCTGGGTGCAGAGTTGCTATAGGGTTATATTTTTTATTCTGAATCAATTTGATGCTACTCCTGAGCACTACTGAATCAAGCAATAGCCTTTAACTGAAAAATACATGATGGCAGAATTCTTGAATGCTTTAATCTCTTTTAAGAGGGGAACTGTGGTATTATCCTTGTATATATCCCCATTGGATAGTTACTGGATGGTACACAACACCAGTCCAGATTGACTTTTTCAGCTTTGCTCCTTAGGTGATAGGAACTGATGAAAGGGGGCCTTGTTTTTCCTTCAGGAACATCAAATCTGTTTTCTATGAAGGAGACTGAAGCAAATGTGCATTGTCCCCCCTATTTTCCCCAAGCCAACAAATCAACTCTCAATTTCAACAGACCCGCCTATTTCAACCTGGTGCTTTTAATATGTATTGGGACTCCAAAGCTCATGAATACTAGTCAGCATAGCCATTGGCTGGGGAGGATGAGAGCTTAAATTCAGTTTATCAGGACAGTACTAGGCTGAGAAAGCCTGGGATAAAATGTATCTGGTAAAGTAGGATCAATTCTTTCCAGCCTGCTGCAATTTTGACACATTCACTTTCCTTCCCAAAAATTTTGGTCTGATGAAAATGAAAAGAAGCAACAACTTTCTAAAACATTTCTTTGTTTATAGTGAGAACACAGCATTATAGCACTCTGTCACTCCACACTAACTCCTGTCAGCAGCATTCCTCTGATGTAACAGGCACTAGGAATAATACTTGTATCCCTGCACCCTTTCCTTGGGGCCGGAGGAGGAAGGGAGGAGAAGGAAGGCAGCTCAGTTGGCACTATCCTTGGGTGTGGGAAGCAGTTAAGAATCAAAGGTCAAAAGGAAACCTGTCTATTTTTTCTTTACTGAAAATTCCTGCTAATTTCATTTATCACACAAAGCATCACCTTTTAGAAAAACAAAGGGTTACTGGGTTTTAAATTCCCTGCTCCCAGTCATGTTATCACTATTAAAGTTAACTATATATTTATTCTGGACTCCTACAGTCTTGGCCCAGGTAGACCTTAACCCTAGAGGTCCTACGTCTGCCGCTGAAGTCAGTGTAGGCTAGTCCCATTTAGATAGCAGGTGAGGTTTGATGACATGGTAGCCAGGGAAAGCTTGATTTGTTTTAGTGGCATGAAGACCAGGCTTTGGTACTACTACACACTTTCAATATCCCCTACCAAAAGAATAACTTGACCAATCCTGAATTTGAATATGCTTGGCCTTTGTAGTGAGATCACCCTCTCTCTCTCATGCTCTTTACTCACTCACCCTCATTCACACACAACTTCAAACATAGACATAGACACCCCTGTCCCAAAGGAGCATGATGGGTATCTTGTCTATAATCTAGTAATAATGTTCTCTTAAAAAGTGTTGCTCTGGGGGAGGATTCTGCTGCCGGCCCCCAACAGTTCCCCCTCCTTGCATTTCCAATGTGCTGGTCTGCTTCTTGCCCTCTTTCCTTGGCACGAGGTCCTCCAGGCTGCCCTGGCATCCTCTTCTTTCAAAGGAAGGCACAGCAACTGCTCCGCTTCTTCTGTGACTCTATGTAGTCATGGATTTGGAACCGGGGCTCTTCTGGTTGAAGGAGAGCTCGTTGTTTGAGTTCTCTGGAAGCAAAGAATAGCAACACCAATAAGATGATCCTGTCTGCAGAAACCCATTCTCGCAACAGAAACCTCTAAGTTAGCTAAAGAAAGACCATTTTAGTCACAGCAGGCTTGCCAGGGACACAGCAAGCTTAACTCACCCACCCAAGAAAATGTGCCAAGGATGCCCACTCACTGGGCTACGACCTTGAATGTCAACTGAGACAAGGTCTGTCCTGAATGTTCTCTCACTAAGCAAAGTGTGTGAAATGCTCCAAAATATCTCCAGATTATCTCACTGTTTCGGAAGAATGTAAGCTGAGAGTCAATGGGATCAAAAGAGTCCACCAATATACAAGGAAGAAGTCTAGTATGTGTGAGCGATGGGGAGGAGGAGAAGAAGGAGCTCTCTACCAATATTGGTTCAGTGAGCTTTGACAGTCAAGCAGCAGGAGTGGGCAGGGGGAGAGATTTGGTGGTAACTCAATTTATGAAGCAGATTGAAGTACAAACTGAAATATATTTAGAATTGCCATCTATCCATACACAATATAGCCACATTTAGACTATTATGGATAACTCTCATTTCTTCTTTCAAAAATATTGTGGATGTGAAGAATAAAAAGAGCAGAAAAAATGAACAAAGAGCTGGAACACCATCTCTAGTGGAAATGGCTAAAGCAACTGAAACTTTCAACTTGCTAAAAGCCAAATACAGAATGCAAGAAATAGGATAATTCTGAGTATAAATTCTCTACACAGCTCTACATTTCTGAAAGTTACTTTGAATCTTAATTGAGCTGTGTTTCAAGCAGCCAGATACAAGTCATCTAGTCATTTATGGAAGTGGCCATATTTGTTGGATACTTAAGGGATGAATGGGCAATTTGTGGCCATGATCCATATGTGCCTCCTGCATGCCCTCACAAGAGACCCAGGTTGGGGGGGGGGGGGGAAGGTACACTCTATTTTGTAGTGGCCAATAATACCCCAAAATCATTTCATTTAGACGACATCCTTCCAGGCCTCTTTTAGGCCTCAGAAAGTCTTGGGGCCATTTCCAATGTTTAATGAAATCTATTAGGATGTTTTAGCAGAGGCTTGAGGGTAACCAATAGCCTTCAAATAACCAATTGTACACTGTTTTTTCCCTTCATTTTTGTATCAAAACAGTGGAGGGTGTTTTTTTTTGTTTCACTCTTTATTTGCTCTGCATGCATAAGGTTGGGATTTTGCAAAATGACCAGGTGCAATCTGGTGAAGTCGGGGAGGGTGAAAATGTCCCATCCCCTCCAGACTTGTCAAACCTGTCCACTTCTGCTCTTAGGCGGCTAGCTAAACAGATGCCACTTTAGTCTAGTTGGCCAACAAATCACACAAAAGAGACCTCAATATGAAAAACCAGGATGTCACAGCTGCCTTGGACATCACTCATGCTGTCATTATTCTCAGGAAGTGGGACAGATTGCTACTCACTTTGCAATGGCCAGAAAAGCCAGTTCCACATTCATACCAGTCTTTGCGCTGGTCTCCATGAAAGGCACTCCATACTCCTGCAAAAAAACACACCAATCATGGCTACAGCTTGGCAACAAACTCAATGACTCCCTGCCACACACTTGTGCTGGCCTGTTGGTTCCAGGGCCTCACAGCTTCAAAACCATCATCTAGAGATTTAGAAGGAAGGATGGTGTTTGGTTGGACTGAAGGAGGCAGCGAACTCTGCTGTCTAGTCTACATAGTGAGACCAGTGGGGCTGGCACTACTCACCCTGGCTAGTGCTGCCCCGTCTTCTGTCCTTACGACCCTTTCACTGCTCACATCAGCCTGCAGAAAAAGAGGGAAAGGGGATTGTAAGGAAGATATAAGGATTTGACAAAGCCCAAAAATATTTTCCAGCTGCAAAGGGGTCTTGTAGCACCTGAGGGAACAAAGTTGTGGCATAAGCTTTCATACATTAAGTCTACATGTTCAGGTGTATAGAAGGAAGTGTCTATGAACAGGTCTTTATAGGAAAACTAGCCATAGAAATGTTGTGAAAAACTATAGAAACGCTATTACCATCTGTTTGGGATAAAGGATGGTCTCTGACAGACCAAACTTTTGTACCTAACTTAGGCAGCAGCTACATATCTTTTGCTGAGCTCAATATTTTTCTCTATCCTCCTGCTCTCTTCAGCACGTCAATTTTATACAGTTTATTAATGGTAACCATTTCTTCATTTGAGTGGGTCATGCTGTCTGGAACTTAAGGTCAAGATGATGTAGTGATTAAGATGTTGGACTATGGCGGGGGGGAGGGGGTTAAGCTCCCACAATTAGATTCCCTGGCCCAGGCACTTTCTTCTAGCTTACTCTACTCCACAGGATCATTGTGCAAAAGGGATTGTTGAAGGAGCCATATAATCACCTGGAAGAATAATAAATGCAACAGACAAAAGATCTAGCACATCTGGATGCCATGAAGCTAATAGCTCCTGTGCTGCTAGAGATGCCTCTAGCAATCTCACCAGATTCTCCAGGTCCTGGGTCCTGGTGGCAGGCCTCTTACCAGCTTTGAAAGATACAGATGCACTTTTAATTTCATAATTTTGAGACGAAGCAGTTGTGTGTGATTTAGTAACATTCCAAAAATATGAAAGACATAGGCTTGCCAGGTGAAAAGACTTTATTGGTTGTGTAGAAGGTAGGGCTGTCCAACCACGGAAAAAATTGTTTCTAAACTCGATTCGTTTTTAGGGGGGTTTTGCGTTTCGTTATTTAAAAGAATTCCGAAATTTTTCTTTTAAAAAGTTCGATATTTACAAAATTTCAGAAATTACGAAACAATTTCGAAACAAGAACGAATCGATTCGTTAATGGCGGACGCGATTGCGCAATACGCTAAAAAACCCTCCAAATGGGACAGGGGGAACTTCTGAAGCTTCCCTCTCCCTCTGTTGTTGACTGTTGGTGTGATTTTTTTTATCACTGATAAAACAAACAACAACTATAAAACTTGCACCAGACATACGGAAATAATAACGAAACAATTACGAAACAATTTGAAACAATTACGAAACAATTTCAAAACAATTACGAAACGAATTAGAAAAATTCGTTTCGTTTTTTAGTTGCTCCTGAATAGTTCAATATCGCTTCGTTATAAAAAAACGAATTAATAACGAATTACGAAATTAACAAACGAAACCGCCCAGCCCTAGTAGAAGGAGAAATTTCAGCAGACGTTGCTTGTCATGAAGGCTGAAATTCCTTCGTCTGCATAACTATTTAAAGTACAGGAGCTGTGGAAATGGGATCATAGCACTATAATTGTAAACAGTGTGAAATAGCCCTTTGATTCTATGGGTTCTTTATACTTTTCAGTATTAGTAAGCATTGTGGTAATGAAATAAAGGCCATTGGTTGAAATCATAAACCCTAACTGCCCTCTGCTGGATGATTTTGGTCAAGAAGAGTCCAGTGGTATGCGCTTTCTGATTATGCCTTTCATTTAATGAATGTGAAGGACTGGCTATATTATACAAAGAATAATATGGCAATGTGTCTCTTGTAAATTATACATTATTTCACACATTCACCATAAACATAGCCTCTCCACATTCTGATCACATCTAAAATTCCGCTAAGTGCAAGGCCTATTTTTCCCAAACACAGATCTTGTTTCTCTTCCATCTCCAGTCACAAATCATATGCACTAACTTCATCACAAAGAAAGCACTCTGCTCTCTATGCACTGAATTTAATAATCTGCTAAAATATCATTTTTGAATTTTCTGCCAGTTACTTTATTTACTGCATTTTAACTAATGAGTTCAAAGATGCTTCTCACATTACTTTCCTGAGTCAAGCTTTTAAGGTCAAATCACACAATTTGCTCTGGCCTGTTTTAATGTGAAACCTTACATTGCGCCAGCAGGGATTTTTCAGTTTGATTCAGATTCAGGGGCCAAGATCCTATCTAACACTAAATGAACATGAAACTCTGCCAGTATATTTACACTGGAAATCTGGGAAAGGATGTAAAGGCTGCTCTCTTTTCATTGGTGGCTGAGTGGCACCTGGACAATGCATGGCTAGATTCCTATATCCAGTCAGTGGTTTTGGAGAAAGAGCTACACATGGCCACCATCAAGTACACAGCCCCTATATCCAGTCAGTGGTTTTGGAGAAAGAGCTACACATGGCCACCATCAAGTACACAGCCATAGTAGAAGTGCCATTCAGAGTCTCATGATACCTCCTTATATAATGTAAAAACAAACAAACAAACAACAAAGATGCCTTCAACACTTCAGATACGTCAGCATAAAACACCAAGATTTGAATCGTAGCCTGCTTGCTCTACCAGGAAGCAGATCACCCAGTTATGATGTCTTCTACAAGCACGTTCCTGGAGCAGTTATAGAAGTAGCAATTGGGGGAACTACGCTTGTGACACACAGACACACAAAACCTGCCCAAGGATGGAAACCAAAACAAATCCCACCCTCTGCTTATGCCTATGGTGGCTTTATTATTCTTATTATTTGAATATCATAACTTTTTATGATTATATCACTTTATTCTATTTAAAGTGTTGACTTTTTATGATTATATCACTTTATTCTATTTAAAGTGTTGCCAACCCCCCCCCCCCCCCCCATTTTTAACTGTTGAATTTGAGCTAGGGAACATTTGGATAGAAAACAGGCTAACAATGCAAATAATTGCCTTGACCTGGATATTCTGGCAAAACAGAACCTATTACCTCAATCAATGGGATTGGAGTAACAAAGGCTAGTGTTGCATGTTTAACTAGAGGAATCGTTCTTTATAAATGAGAAAAAAAGTGGCAACACCCTTTCCATTTCCTAATTCTAGAATACATATTAATCTAGAATTCCCCTATAAGTACTATTACAGTTGATCAAATTAATTTTAATTTTAAAATTAAAAAGGCATAAAAGTGAAGAGTTAAAATATGCATCCCCATTCCATGCAGCACTTATTCCTGGAGCCACCTAAATCCCACTCCAAATACAGTCTCAAGGTATCTTGTCTCTACATCTTATCTTGTATACATTTGGGATCTGAAGAGTAATTGTGAGAGGTCTTGCATTCCAGAGTCTTTTGTCTCCACTATTTATCAATTGTTCTTGGTTCTACACCACCTTTAAGATACTATTAATTCATGGAAGCTTTGGCCTCCCCCACCCACACACATTTTTTTCATTTTTAAGATGCTGCAAGACTTCCTTTTGTTTATTCATAACCAGACAGGACTCAATGTAGTTACAATATACATAGAAAACTTCTTTTATAACCTCATAAGATAGTAATAGAATGATTTGTGAGAGGTGAAGATGAGCTGAAACAATTCAGTTCCAATTTACCAAATTAGTTTACTGACTATTTCAAACAACTACAACTAATAAAATGATAAAGTTATAAGTGCCACAACATAGTTACAAGAAAATTTTCAATTATGACATTAACGTTCATTGACTACAGCCTTGACCCACATTTTGCAAGACTTGAGTGGGGCTGCTGATAACAGAGTGCCATCCAGTGAGCAGGCAATAGAGACACTAGAACTGAACACAATCCCTTCTTTCCACCTCTATTTTCTCTTCTAAATTGGCAGGCGTGATTGCAAAGAGAAGAGGCCTTCTAGGATATACAATACTGTATTTCCGCATAAAATAGTCACAGTTGTATAGCAGTCATACCCCCATTTTAGGGGTTCTCAAAGTGTTTTTTTAAAACTTTCTTCGCATAATTGTTGCACCCTTGATTCACTCACCCTTGACTTGGCTAGCAACTAAGGGAAGTCCTGCAGCTGTGCACATTTTTTTCCCACTGTATATTAGTCTCCACTTCATAATATTTGCATCCTCCTTTTTGCTGTTTTCATCACAAAGCAATTTCATGTGCAATTCAGGAGGGACACAGATAATGCTCCCTGCAACTTAAATATAGTTGGTCCTCAAAAGGATTGCATGCCGTGTCCTCTATTATTTACCAGGGCACTGTATATGTACTTTGAGAGGGAAATGCCCTGAAATAATCCCTGAAAGATCACTATATTCTTCAAGTCTATATATATATATATATATATATATATATATATATATAGAGAGAGAGAGAGAGAGAGAGAGAGAGAGAGAGAGAGAGAGAGAGAGAGACGGCTTGTTACGAGCTTTGATAGTACAATAAGTTATCTGACTTTATCCTGGGGTAGAGTTGGGAAGTTTTCTTTCAAATAGGTGGTACATATATTATTATTAGAAGGTGTAGAATAACTACTGTTAGTTGATGGTTTTATATATCAATAGTTATATTTTAGTTTGTATGTTTCTGAAATAAAAAAAATGAGAAATCTAATCCAGAGAAAGATTAAAAGCAATTTGTTGAATTGTCCTCAGGACAGCATTTCTCTCCCTTGGTACTTGCTAGCCATTTTAAAGCTGGTTGAGATGAAGCTAAGTCAAGATAAAAGTCTGGAAAAAAAATTTGTTGGTGACAATTCCAAGAAACCTCTTACTAGTTTGGGTGAGATTGTAATCTAAAACAAAACAAAACAAAACAAATCCCATTTTTAAAATATCCGAGAGACAGAGAAAGTGTGTCTAAAAGAGCACAGATCTCCCCTTACCTGTCAAAAAACGATACACACCTTATTGCCTAACAACATAATGACCACATCCTTTTGTGCATATTCATGGATTTCTGTGAGCCAGGCCTGCAAGAGAGGGGGAAGGAGAGAAGACATCATGTGGTGTAAAACCATTATATTGGGAAAAATGTACAACACCAGCCACAGACTCACTTTGGTTCTTAATAGCTGACCAGCCACACATTCCTCATGGCTGCCTCCCCTGGTACTGAGACTTTCTTAAATGATTGGAGCCCCCCACAAGATAAGCAGATTAAAAACAATTAACAGCCCTCCATGTGGAGGTGTTAAGGAGGGGGGAATTTTGCCTAGTGTAAAATGAGAGAGTGACCCTCTGTGGCATTCTCTCATCCTAGGATAGAAAGACTCTATTGTCTCAGGTTAAAAAAACCACCTTGGACTAAGCACCATTGGTTGCTTCTTAGGGCCCTTCCACACAGCCATATATACCATAATATCAAGGCAGAAAATCCCACATTATCTGAGTGTGGACTCTGATAATCCAGTTCAACGCAAATAATGTGGGATTTTCTGCCTCAATATTCTGGGATACTGGGCTGTGTGGAAGGGTCCTCGGTCCCAACACCCAAATGCAACTAAATCTAAATATATGTGACTGATATAAATGCACACCCTTTCCCTTTTTACCCCTGCTCCCATGTTCCCATTTCTTCTTATTTTCCCATGTCTAATTGCAGAATGCTCCTTAGGGCAAGGACTTGTTTTCTTAAACTTTGTGAAGTTAGCTAGCAGATTTCCCTTCCACACTGCTGAATAACATCCCACATTATCTGCTTTGAACTGGAATATATGGCTGTGTAGACTCAGATAACCCAGTTCAAAGTAGATATTGTGGGATTTAGCCTTGATATTCTGGGTTATATGGTTGTGTGGAAGGGCCCTTGGTTAACAATACTCATACTTACTGAAGCTATTTCCCCCCACCAATTTCCTATAGGATTTTCCAGTAGGCCATGTCATTTAGGTTTTTAGCTAACAAGTTCAAGGGGTGGTGAAAAACTCTCATTGTAAAGAGTTTCTGGTGATTTTTGATAGGTCCAAATCAGCCCTCAGGATAGGGGCATTTTTAATGGGCTATTGATACCTAAATCCTTACTGACACATGGAAAACCACCCTTCCACACAAATAAACAGATGTTCAGAGAATAACATATCCACACTACAGGTATGAAATAATACCGGTAGTAGTAATAATATGAAATACATACCCGAATATTGTCAAAAGACATTCTGCTGGTGATATCATAAAGAAGGAGAAGTGCTGAAACATAACAAAAAAGAGATATGTTTAATTATTTATTAATTTTGTATTTGCTCCTCTGAAACTGATTTCCTATGATCTGTCTTTCCATCTGTCGACAGTATGCAGTGGTCCTCACTATTCACAGGGATTTGGGTCCGGGATGCCATGTAGATACCAAAATGTATGCTCAAGTTCCATTATGTACAATAGTGTTGTAAAATTGTGTCCCTGATATAAAATGGCATAATCAACATTTGGTTTTTGGATGTTTTAAAAAATATTTTCAGGCCATGGATGCTGAATCTATGGATACAGTGAGCTGGCTATAGTACGTGCTAGTTGTCAGCAGCTCTCCATATCCTCACAAAGAGAGACATTTCCAGACATGCTGCCTATGATCTTTCCAACTGAGATATCTGGATTTAAACCTGGGATATTCTTCATGTACAGTGTATGAATTCTGGCATAGAAGTGACATTCTTCTGCCCTATTATGGAATGCTGCTCCACTAAAAACCTGCACTCTGACCCAGCCTGGGAAATGCTCTATTGGAGGACTTACCCTGTGCATCTCGGTAGTAAGCATGAGTCACGCTCCTGAACCTCTCCTGGCCTGCCGTGTCCCAGATCTGCAGAAAAAGCAAGTTTAGTAAGGAAAGAGAAGATGGAAAGAGCTCCTTTCTATTCCAAAGTAGGAAAAATGCAAGTATAGTACATGGCACACAAAATAAAAATGAACAGGCAGTTCTTCACAGGAGGAGGCCTATCAAGGTCAAAGGCTAAAATAGAAATTCCTGCAGAGAAAGTTTTGTTTGATACAGTATCTTTGTCACTTGGTCTAGAACTTTTTTCAGTGTCATGTTGAAGCCTTTAACAATTTTCCCATGCTTGTTAATCTGGCTTGGCATTAAATTGTTTTGAGTCCACAAAATCACATTTTCAATCCTGTATTAAACTTTTATTGTTATATAATGTCATTATTTTTTGTCGTGAGCTATTTGAGACACCTGGAAGTGGGTGGTCTGCAAAGACATGTAAATTACTAGAGAATTGAATTATATATAAGGCATGGGGATAGAGAGAGTATTGGGAATTCTGGTTATCAAACAATAAGAATAAAATTAGGAGCAACTCCCCAGAATCTGGGAGGAAAACATAATGAATCACAAATAAACAATTTGGAGGCTATGAGCAGACCTATAGTTGAGTTGTTGTAGGTTTTTTTGGGCTATATGGCCATTGTCTAGAGGCATTCTCTCCTGATGTTTCGCCTGCATCTATGGCAAGCATCCTCAGAGGTAGTGAGGACCTCACTACCTCTGAGGATGCTTGCCATAGATGCAGGCAAAACGTCAGGAGAGAATGCCTCTAAACCATGGCCATATAGCCTGAAAAAACCTACAACAACCCAGTGATTCTGGCCATGAAAGCCTTCGACAATACATAGACATATAGTTGTTCTTTGTTATGATGTATATACCATAATACTGGACATGATACAGGGATGTTCTTTCTATATCTGCCCATATTTTTAAATGTATAGAGTTAGGGAATTATAATACAATATTCCCATTTCATGGGTGCACTATACTGTTAGCAATTGTAAAAAAATTAAATGGTAAAAAAAGAAAATATATATACAATGCTGTTTCCATATGCTTCACAGTTTTAAAAAACCTACTTGAGGGTGGTAATAAAATGTCAGGAATTTTCAGAAAATATTCCACCCTGTTTTCAGATGTTTAAACATCACAACTTCTCTGTGACCTTCACAGATTGCATGCTTCACTTCATTAGTGAACTAAATAATCTCACTGTCCCTGCAACCATTTGAGTCAGTTCGGCTTATGATGGGAGGAAGGAGGAAAGGACCAGAAAGGTGAACCTTTGCAGCAGAGCTTTCCAAACTGTTTGTTGTGACACATCAGTGTATCAACTGCAGTGTGTAGGCATATCGTGCAAACAGAATGAGAAACCTCTGAGCCTACGTGAAAAAGCAACAAAATCATATATTTTAAATATATATATACACACACACACACATATATATATGAATGAAAGGTGTTCATGAGATATGATGTGTCCCCACAGATTTTGTTATTACAATTTATGTATATATGTGTGTGTATCTCTCATAAGGGGGTTGGTTTAACCTCCGGTTCGTAAGTAGAACTGAACGACTGTGTCACAAAATGATTCACACCTCAAAAGTGTGTCACCAACATGAAATGTTTTACATCCACATTCCTATCTGCCCCTTTAAAATCTGTATGACAAGGGAAAACGTATCAATGGCAACCCTCGTTTGGAGAAAGCACACCCATCCTGCAGCAGATAAAAATGCAATCCCATCATCAAATGACCACATATATACCAGGCATGGGCAAACTTGGGCCCTCCCTCCAGGTGTTTTGGACTTTAACTCCCACAATTCCTAATGGCCGGCTGTTAGGAATTGTGGGAGTTGAAGTCCAAAACACCTGGAGGAAGGTCCCAAGTTTGCCCATATCTGGTATATACTGAGAAACTCCCACATCAATTCAGAAGGAATCTCAGGACATGTCATTTCAGCCTGTGTTCATTAAACCTACCTGTAATTTCACTTTAACACCATCCACTGTCACTACTTTGTTCTGTAAGAAAGAAAACAATAAAAGCACACCAGTGTAGTGGAACAATAACAGCAAGGGAAAAAGACTGATCTGGCTTTTCCTATCAATCACATGAAGGAAAGCCAACTGCTCCACAGTACTACAATTCAACTTTTAAACTAAATTCGTTATAGAATTGTCTATATCAGGGACCAATTGGTATGCATATGACAGATCTTGGTCTACATTAAATGCTTTCAATGAACTCTACATATAAGTTGGGCCAGTTAAACAGTGAAAATGGTCTGAGTTGGTACTATCCATAACTTTTGCTGCTTTGTGCCATTGGGCACCATAATGTGGTACAGTTTAACATTATTAAGTCAGAGCTGATGCCTTATTAAAGAGGTATTACTTATTCAATTATTATTGTAAAGAAGGACTCTGACAATGCAAGACAACTTGGTTTATTGTCAGAATCTGGGGAGGGATGCAATCCAAACCATACTTATGGTATTGGATCTGACTCATGAGGCCCCACCCCCACCCCCACCCCAACACATATAAGAGGTGCATGCATTCCCAGCAGTGAAAGCCCTGGGAACAAAATCAAGCCATAACTATTACCCAAAGAGAAACAAACAAACAAACACATTTATATTAACTAGAAGAAAGTTGTTTTTCAAGTCACTGGAAGGGAAGGAATCAGGCAGCCCTTCAGATATTACTGGACAACTCCCAGCATTCTTTACCACTGGGTATACCAATTGGGGCTGCTGGGAATTATGGTTCAGCCCTATCTGAAGGATTGCAACTTGCTATAAAACATTTTGGTACCTCTATTTTCAAAACATACCCCATTTACTCTCCTTTTTCTTGATATAAGGGTTTTCTACTGAACCAGCTAAATAATGAAAATGTGATGTATATCATCCATGCTTGTAGATGAAAAAGTATTAGGTACCAAACAAGCAAGAAAGAGCCAGGGAGTTCCAAAGATGAAGTACAGTTGTGCTACTGAAAAGACTCTTTTATGTTTCATGATTATGATAGTTATACATTTTTATTCCACCATTCTTTCAAGGAGCTCAAGGTAGCATGGAAGGTTCTCTTCCCACATTATCATTTCAACAATCCCGTGAGGCATGTTGAGGTGTGAATCCGTGAGAGGCCAAAGGCTGCCTTGTGAGTTTTATGACTGAGTTTAAAATTTCAATCTAGTTCTATTCTGGAGCCAGTGGCAGCAGACAGTTTCCATGAGTGCATCTCCACTGTAAAATTAATGCAGTTTGACACCACTTCAATTGCCATGGCTCAATGCTGTGAATTCATGGGAGTTGTAGTTTTTCAAGATCTTAAGCCTTCTTCTCTGCCAAAAGAGTGCTGGTACCTCACCAAACTAAAACTCCCATGATTCCACAGAATTGAAGAATCAGTTAAACTGGTCTCAAACTATATTGATTCTACTGCGCAGAGCAAGCCCATTTCAGTGGGGCAGTGAATCTGTTCCACTGTTCAATCCAAACTGTGAAGAAGCCATCCAAGGCCATGAGTCTTATCTCCAAACGGGTCTTAGCATTAAGGGTTGCTCCTTTAAAATGCAGAATAATACCCAGTGTGCATATAGGAACCAACAGCCACAAATTCCTGGCACTCTGATCTCCACACTATATGGTTATCTTAGCATTTATTGATTTGAATGGCTCGAGGAGACTCTCTCCTTTGGTCTGATTAGCAAGGTGAATATTGGTGTCTCTACAGACATCCCGTTTAGCTAGATGTATGTCAAGCAACTGATTTGTTTTTCTGTCAAGCACCACAGATAGCAACTCTGAACATAGTTATTAATGCTAACTGAATCAATAACTACCCAGTTACCCCATGTTCCACAATACCTCTGAATGGACACTTCGGGAAAATGTATAAGGGCTTCTCGGTGCATCAATCTATTCTTTGTCAATATTTCCCCACCAAACATCAAAAACGAATCTCAGCAAAAGGACAATTATTGTCCAATTTTCTATAGTTCAAATTGACAAGGGATGAAAAGATGAGGGATACCTATTATTGCCACTGAATATGAGGAAAATTGGGGAGAGAACAATATCAACTGGTAAGATATGTGATAAATCTGATGGGATCACCGCAGAGTAGCAGCAATGCTCAGCCCCTCCCCAAAGAGGACCCAGGTCAAGACCACTCATGCAGGATAGCGATTGCTGTCTGTCCAGTGCCTCGTGTCAGTTCTTAGAAATGTAGAGTAAGGAGGATATATAGTACTGTAAATGTCATTGCTTAATAAAGCACACCACTGTTCAGGTGTGCCTGAAACTAGTCAGTCTATTTGACTGCCTCTCAATCAAATAGACTGATAATTGACTTCATATCAGATAGTGTCACACAGCTATCTGTAACTGTCACCTTAGCCTACACCTATATTATTTTCAAGAAAAATGGCTGGTGCAGATCCATTCATGCCCAACTGAGTAGCAGCTATTAGGAAGAGCACAGTGTACTTCTCTGAAGGAGCTGGGTAGAAACAGCATTCAAGTTCTAAACCATTAGGATTCACAGGCTACATTATGGGTTCTTGATTTTTCTTTAACATATTGCAATCCATAGTGCTTGTATACTGGAGTCTTAATATTTTACTTCAGTTAGTTTGTAGTCCCTTATTGGGATATGAAAAATTACCTCCCACTGAAGCACAGTTACAACCTGAGCACTGTTTGTGGCATGGACAAAGAATTCACGGTCCCAAGTTCTATCTTGTAACATGAAACCCCCAACTCAGTGTCTCAATCCTCAGTTACTAGGTTTTGACAACCCTACAAACTAAAAAAAACTGGGTTGATCATTCACTCTGTGAGTGTTCATGATAAAACAAGGAACTAGTGAAAGCAATCTTGAAAAACTGAGAACAAGATGTGTCAACGAGTCTAAGATTACTCATGGCAACATTTCAATTTAACACGCTTATTTTCACTATAAAAAGCAACACTCTTAAAATGCTGAGCTTTTAAAAATAGGAAACCTTCAACTGAGTGTAGTAAGAAATGCCTCCAAAATCACTATATGCACACTCCTATATACACATGTACTTCCGTAACTGGACAGCTGTAAAAGGTTATGAGGACTGAAAACAGGGAGAAAGCACTCTGAGAAATAGAAACTCTCTTTCCATCATAGCACTGTAGCAGCAGGAGAAATGAACCTATTGAATGATTCATTCTTACAGTTCAATCACACAAAAGCAATCTTCCATAAAAAAAACATGACAATCCTATAGTATTATTTATGCAGTTCTTTAAAAAAGTGTGTATACATGATTTTTAGGCTCTGTGTATAAGATGTATATGAAACATAAGGCTTTTAGACACTGTGTATAAGGTATATATAAAATATAAATGATCTTTATGTTTAGACTTCGGCCCTTTCCCCAACATGTCGCATTATGTATGTATATGCAAATACAGGTATTTCAACCCACAACCCTCTGCCCACCAAAATCCGAAGACAGTACACCCCCCCCCCCAGCACTTCAGGCAAGAGATGCCCATCCTGTAGTAGTTCACCACTTCTGAAGATATCTGCATCAGGGAGACTTTCTCACACCAGGGCTTTAAGGTGGGCAGCTCTGCATTTCTGCCACCTGCAGAATTCTGGGAAATGTATTTTGGGAAGGTGAGGACCTCTGTAGCTGAGAATTCAAACGGTCCCACAATAAACTACATTTCCAGAATTTTGCAGGTGGCAGAAATGCGGGGCTGCTGCTTTAAAGCCCTGGTGTGATAACGTGGATAGATAGTTGCTGAAAAATTGGTTCCAATTGCTTCAGGTCACAGCATTAATGCTGGTAAGCAGAGATCCAGTTAGGTTATACAGCTTGTATCCAATGCTTTGCCAATAGCAACAGCATTAAATTAATGAGCAGAGCAGGTTGGAGCATCAATAAGCGATATTACTGCAGCTTAAAAGGTTTATGTTGCAATGCCAAGCCCTAACCACAAAAACGGTTTTTCAGTATTAGATTGCAGGGTAATCTGTGAATTGATTCTCAGAAAAATGTTTAGAGCAAGGTAATAGGAAAGCTCCAGGCATGTACATTTCTGGAAAATGTGGCTGAAGCAAGCTTATGCCATTTTATAACTGCTAAGGAGACAAATAAACTACTACACTTCCAACTTTGAAAAGCAGATAATATAAGACTGTAAAAGAAGCCTTACTGGGTTAGATTCCCAATCAGGCCAACACTGTATTTTACAGTTAAGATTTCTGTGCAATCATCCAACAAAGGGAGTGCTTATTATGAGGGTTGAATGAAAAGTAATGCCCCCACCTTCGTGACTTGGATTTGGATCGAAATATTTTAATAAATCAAACGCAGAAATAATCCTTAGAATGTGCTCTTTAACTTCCACCATTCACTTTTCCACATAATCACCAGACAATTGGCTACATTTCTGCCAACGATGAACAAGTTTTCTGAAGCCGTCACAGAAGAAGTCGACACTCTGTTTCCGCAACCCATTGTGCACAGATCTTCCGATAGCCAAGGAAAGCAATAATGTGATCCACACATTCTTGTGAAATGCTGATTATGCTTGAAATTTCTCTCTGAGTGAAACGACTAACGTGCTGAATCAATCTGTCAACCTTTTGCTTGTGAAACTCGGTGGTTGCTGTCACAGGACATCCAACTCTTTGTTTGTCATGCAAGTCAGATGTTCCCACCTCAACATCTTTAAACTTACTCTCCCAGTGATGCACAGTGCTCACATTAACACAATCACCATAAACATCTTGCATTCTCTGATGAATCTCCTTTGGGATAACACCTACTGCTGTCAATAATTCAATGACTGCACATTGTTTAAGTCGCATTGACTGACCGTCTGTGCAAGGTTCCATACTTCACACTTTAACAACTCAACCATTCAATGCTAAGGCTTCCCGCCAAAATGGAACTGTAGAGGAGAGTCTACTGAACAAGCCAGTACCTGCCGTATACCAGTACTGTCATCTGTTAAGGAGGTATGAAGGTGGAGGAATTACTTTTCATTCAACACTCATAGTTATTGACCTTTTCATCAACCATAAATTTGAACAGACCCTCCATGAGTATGAATTCCAATAGTTACCAACAAAAGATGTTGACTAAACTCAGCAGTGACAATTTCCCTGAGTTCCTTCTGGATCTAGTAGAATGGGCTGAATATCCAAAATACTTGGGACCAGAAATTTTTGGATTATTTTGAATTTGGAGTTAACATAGTTGTATATACAGTACATACATAATGAAATATCCTGGAAAGGTTACCCAGATCTAAACACAAAATTCATTTATACATATAGCCTGGAGGCAATTTTATATGCATTGCTTTTGATAATTTTGTGTATGAAACAAAGTTTGCATACACTGAACCATCCGAAAGTAAAGGTGACACTACCTTAGCCACCTCTAAATGTGGAAAATTTCACATTTTTTGATTTTGGAATTTTAGATAAGGAATGCCCAACCTGTAAGTATTTTGTGCTATATTTTTGTTTACTCCCATCTCCCCATTAGAGTTTCCACACATTTCATTCCATCAATCTCTCCTCTAACCTGCACTATATTAAAGGACTCTATGACTTAAATCTCTTTACATTGTCCTTTTATATATTCTTGATATAAATACACATGTCTTTTTAAAGTTTTCAAGTGTTTTCATGAAGCATAGATGTTTTAGCACACCAAGCAAAAAATTAAAAAAAAAGCCAAATGGTCTAACATGCACAAGGTTGAAACATAATAAATAAATGACAACTTGGTCTCCTAAGTTCTACACCTGGGGCCAACATAAGAAACTGTGCAAGAGTGCTCCATTAAGCAGAGTAGAAGGGATACCCTGCTCAGCTTGAGAGAGCAAAGTTACTTGCCAAGACATAAAAACAGCTCTCTGGTTTTTTTTTAAACAAATGCTTTGAGTACATCAGATCACAACCTAGCTTTCCAGTCATTCCAAAGAACTCTATGCTACTCAGAAAGAATTGCATATATCAATATAAGTTTATTCTGGGCAACTTCTGGTGCTCTAGGACCACCTGGCAGAAGGATCTATGTTGGTAGCAGCACATTTTAATTATCTATTTAAAAGCATAAGGAACCACTGGTAGCTAGCAGCTCTCATGTCAGAGCAATGGTGAAGCCATCCAAGGCACTGAAGCCCATTCCTATATATGTTCAGCACAATGGACACCTCTCTAAAGAAAGGATTACAACATGGAATTACAGTACCCATGGATTCAATAGCCACAGTTTCAACTGCCCAAATGTTTGTTGGTTTCTAGGGTCTTCAATGTGTTTTTTATAGTATGCTTCCAGCCCAAGTATAATGAAAAATGAGGTTTACTATTAGGCCTAGCTTCAGATAACCATTGTTGGGCCATTGTATTTTGTCCCTTCTGATATGGGGGTCATACTGTATATATATATCACTGTCCTGCTGACATGGAAGTCATCAGCACCACTGCTAAGAAGAGAACAAACCTTTGTGGTGCTCTCTTTTTCTTCATCCATGGGAGTTGAACTGATGGTCTCCTTTTTTCTGCTCACAGGTTCCTGCACTCATGTTTGACACTGAAGTCAAACTATATGTATGTAAGCATTTGACATGCTTGATTTTTGTTCTGAAAAGAGATCCCATGATGTGTATGTTGAATGAATGTATTCAGATTGGGACTGCTGCATAGAGAGTAGGAATCCTTTACACTTCCACCTATGCTATACCACTACTAGTAGTACTAAGAGAAATTTCAGCTTATCTTCTGGCTGCCAATAAAAGGGATGCCCCCACTTCTTAGTGCCAAGGAACCCTCCTTTCTGGGGCTAATGTCAGCTTTAGATGTGTGTCAGAGATTTCTTTAAGAGCTGTAACAGGGTGAAGAGAAGACTTTGAAAATAACCCTTGTCCATGTGCCATAGTCTTGATCTTTATTTCTAGGTAAAGAACAAAACCTCACCATGTCAAATACTTTCATACATTTATGTTTAATCTAACTTTCATTTTACCTCTCTGCCTGCACTGTGCTTCTCTCCTGGGAGACACAACAACAGGATGCCTGACCACTCTCCCTGATTGTGTAGCAAAAAGAGGTCCCTCCCTTTAGACATTGGCAGCTGTAGTGGGGTCTCACCCGGAAGTCTATGCCGACAGTGGCTATGAAGGTCCCCGAGAGGAAGGCCCCGTCTTTGAACTGGATCAGGAAGCAGGTTTTCCCCACGCCTGAATCTCCAAGCAGCATCACCTATAACACGGGGGTGCAAAAGCCCATTAATAGCGCAAGGGATAGTATATAAGAATGAAGTGTGTATGTGGTTGGGGGCAGGGGGGCTGATCCAGAAGAAGAGCTGCAGAAATGAATGGGTCCTGATCCTGGACAGGGAAGAGGCCAGATGCAGCTGTGAACAATATGAACTGCTCTTTCTTCATTCATTCTGGTCAACTTTCTCTTTCCTCCTACCTACTACCTCCTACCTAATTATTTGCATGGATGTACACATGACAAATTCCTTAAAGAAGCATTTCTCTTTTCGGGAGCAATATGAGAATAGCTAAACAGGATAAGATGATTTTTTTTAATGAGAAAGCCACAAGAGTCAAGAGAATCTGGGCTCCTATTAGTTTTTCTTCATTAAATTATTTAGGGGAGATGAAGAAAAAGACTGAAGAAGCATTGCAATATACATATGAAACTGTCATAAAATACTGTGTTGGAGACAGGGCAACTGCAGGATAAAAATGGGGAACAAGGATATAAACTTGTGCTTATACTATTTTATTCTCACATACAAAAATGAAAGATTGCACTTTTTCCTCCTCACTGAGTGTGATTATGGGAGCTTTCACTTTGCAGTATTTTGGGACTTTCTTGTAACCATTTTGAAAATGGGTGTATGTTTGGGGGGAGAGTGGAATCACTGTAAGTTTAGGAAAATACAGTATTATGGGGTAAATTAAATAAACTCTCACTCAGGGTTGAAAAAAAATCACACAGAAGATTTTTAGTGTGGCGCCTCTTATATTGAGACACTTTTTCTAATCAGGGATGAGAAAATGTCAATATACATTTCATCCCTAAGCTGGACTCATCCAAGGATAAAACATAAGATTTATGTTTTCAAACTGCCTTTTCTTCTGTCAGCTAAGGTTATTCTAGACCAGAACTTCTAAAACTTTTTTCCACTCATGACCTCTTTCCACCTGAGAAATTTTTACATGGCTCCAGGTATATAAGTATATAAAATAAGTATAAAAAGCAAACATTTACTGATAACAAATCAGCATTTCAAGGCTTGATAAACAGACTGGTTTTCCTTTTTGTTGAATAAAGCTGAAGCATCTTCCGCAGAGTCCACTGCAAACAAGGCATGTTTTTGCTAACACATTAGTGTTGCCAATTTTGTGGGAGCACAACATTGAGCTCAGGGGACCCCATTTGGGACTGGGATCCACACTTTAAGAAGCAGAGCTCTAGATCAGTGGTTCTCAAAGTGTGCTCCTTGGAGCCCTTGGGTCTCTGCAAAGCATACTGAGGGGCTCTGAGCTTCTCTCCTCCTCTCCCTCCCCACCTCCCTCGCTGCCAAAAGCCCCTTTCCTTCACACTCCTTGCCCTCAAAAGCCATTTTTACTCCCCTCCCTCATCCCCAAAAGCCTGATAGATACACATTATATATCATATCATATATAATAAAATACATAAACATTTATTGTGGTTCCTCAATAGACATTTGCTTCAAAAAGGGCTCCATGGTTGAAAAAGTTTGAGAAACCCTCTTCTAGACTTTACAATTGCTCTAAAAATGTATAGGTACAAACATTGCTGTCTTGAATTCTTCTGCTTTTTTCTGATCAGAAAAATCTGATAAGGAAAAAAGGTAGAACAGCTGCAAAATGTCTTCTAATTTTATGCAGTAGGAACTATCTGCCTGAAGGACTCAAACACAAAATGTGGGAAATGGCTTGATATTGAAACCTGTTTATTCTCCCACTCAGTGCTGTGATGGAGTAATTTGATTTTGTTAGTCAAGAAGCTTTGAATTCAGAGACATCAGTATATAGCCTCTAAGCCATGCCACATCTACAACCTACCTCCTCAGGGGGGAAAAAGATTATACAAACACATCCAAAAAGGAAGAGTCCCGCTGGATCAGATCTGATCAAAGGTCAATCTACTGCCATCTGCTTCCAGGAAACCCATAAGTAGGGCATGAAGCAATGGGCGGAGGGCATAAGTGACACTTTCTACCACACTGTAATCCTTCCATTTTGAAAGGGGAGGAAGGGAAGCCCCTGTTCATGTGGCTGAGTATACAATAGAGAACAATCTTTCTAACTTCTGTGCTCTCTCAGAAGCTGAGCTTAGCTCTGTACCATCAAAGCAATATGTGATCTTCTGCATGCAACTGAAGAATTTTGATGAGCATCAAGTTGACAGAACTGATTTTCTGACAGATTCTGGGCTTCTTCTATGAATCTGTCACCACCCCTTCCCTTGGGATGAAAAGAAAGTTACATACTCTCTTCTCCTGACTTTTACCCTCTTTAAAAGATTAGATCTATAAAAAGCCCTTCTTTTTTCCTCCATTTCACCTCTCTTGAAAAAGAGAGAATGAGGCTCTTTCACACTAACAATCCTAGAACTCTTGTGATTCCACTTAAACTGTCATGATTCTTGGACTTTGCAGTTTAACTAGGAGACAACAAGACCGTGCCTATTACTTTGCCAAATAACATATTTCAGGATTCCATAGGATGCAACCCTGGTTGTCAAAGTGAAACCATAGTGCTATAATGGAATCAAGGTCCATGCTACTCAGCTCTCCCTTTTGAACATCCTTCTACCATCTATTGCAAATATCAAATTCCTTTTCATTGAGGGCCACATCAGCCTTATAGTTGCCTTCTAAGGGCCATTGAGTCAATTGATACAAAAACCATGGATACAGAGGGCCAACTGTTACTGTTTTTACATAGTGGTCAATGCTCTTTAGTTTTTACCCAATTTGGGTCTCCAGATTTCATTGAACAACAGCTCCCATCTCTTTTGATTATCTGCCATGTGGACTGGTGATAATGGGAATTGCAGCTCAACAGCACTTATGGCTCTGAGGTTGGGGAAAAGTTAAAGATATTTTAAAGGCACGCATCATAACTAAACAGAAAAAACTGCAGCCTTCCAGATGTTACTATATCACATCTCCCATCAGCTCTAGTCATGATGTCTAACAATGAGGAATACAAGAGTTGTAGTCCAGCATAAAATGTCATTGCAAGCTGGAATTGATCTACAGGCTTTAAGTTTGACCCATGTGACCTATTGCTTACATTTGCAGTTGGAACATACTTGTTTTCCCTGCCCCAATATATTCAAGGTCTATGCTGTTGAGCTCCTTATTTTGCACTCCTTCTACACAGGCAACATGACCTTACCTTGGGAATCACAATCTTCAATCTGGACTATACATAGGCAGTCCACAGCTTACAAGCAATATACATTCTGTAGGTTTGTTGAATGTGTATGCGAGTTGGAACAGGTACATTTTGAAAGTGTAACTCCAGCAATTTTTTTAAGTTTTGGATAGCAGGAGCGGGGGGGTTGCTATCTGTGCCCCTGTTCAGCAGATTTCACCTCACAGAAACCACCTCACAGTGACAACTGGATTTTGAAAATTTGGGGTTGTTGAGGAAAGAAGGGTTGGGGGTAAAGCTTCAGTGGAGACACAATTTCCCCATGATAACTCTTTCAGTAATGAATTTCCCTTCCTGGAGGTAGATTTCTTCTCACTTCCTGTTGTCTCACCTCTGTTTATAACTAGGAATTGGATTTAAGTGTGATGTTTGCAACTCGGGACTGCCTGTAGAGATAGCTGTACCAGGGTGTGCCTGGTACAATCAAGCAAGTCAAACTATGCTGCCACCTTATTTATCTTTAACTGAATGAATTGTAGGAATTTTTGGACTGCAGAAAACAAGATACCTGACCACATCCATAGGAGTAAGCAAGCAAGGCCATATTCACTAACACAATCTCTACATGTGCCACACTTTTATTGGTCTCTTGACTCACAGCACAAACCTTGCACTTTCTTTCAGTCAATGGAGCCAAAGTCATAATTACTATATGCACGGTTTGTAACTTGGATCTTCAATCTGTGCCTTCTTTCTCAGCACTGTCTGCCTTTCTCTCCATGGAAAGTCTTTGCCACCCATAAACACGTGTGTAGATTTCACTATGGACTTGAGTATCTTGGAGATAGCATCAAAGCAGCACATTACTCAGGGGATAAGTGCCATGAGTAAACTTTGCTTGAGCTGGGATTCTCTTCCTCTATTGCTAGTGCCTCGCCACGACTGCAAGATAAGAGAGCAAACAGGCAAATCAGCATCTGCTCCTCCTCCTAAGCAAACAAACTTTGTTGGCACCCCTGGGCCAATATTTACTTCAGGGATGCAGTACCACAGTATCCAGGAATCAACATCATAGTCACGTCGTAGTATTTATCCTACTACTATATGTGGTAGGACCGTCCATGGATTAAGGCCCATTTTAATCAGATAGATCCTAGTCTACAAAGGCTTGTGTACTGAGAAACCTGTTCCTCTTTAAGATGCCATTAGGAACCTTTCGGTTTCTGCTGCAAGAGAATAACAGGGCAACTCTCTGGAATATATCACTGTGAGAAATGTGGATTGACAAGTATTCATCTAACTATAAAGAGCGATTCCCCCTAGCCTGCTCTCAGATAAGAGCAGTCTTCCTGTCTGTGGCTGTGGGACAAAACTATCCGGTAGATCAGCAGCCCTGGCACAAAATAAACAAACACCCGGCTCTTAAATGTCAAGTCTTTTAAAAGGGGTTTTTTCCACCCTGGATCTGAAAGCAAACAAGACTGACTCAAACAAACAAAAACCCTAAAGAAAGCACTGGGAAAGAGACATCTCTGGAGTAATGGAGCCCTTTACAACTTGGAGTGGGAATCACTTCAGGAAATCTCTACCTGGTCTTCTGAACTGCACCTCGACAGCTGGAATCAACAGTTATTTCTCCAGTATTTAATACTGGAAGCACACTATTTTATCACCTCACATTGATACTCCCAAGGGGTGTATTTTTAAGAGTGTGGGAAAGAAAAGACATCCTTCCCATTTTTTGTACTGGGGCTGCTTCTTTGCTGGAAGAGCAGAATAGGGGCGGATGTGCAAAAGAGACAGGCCTCTGGGCAGGGTTACTGTTTCTACAACAAA